GTAAAGTTTAGACTACAAAAGTTGAAATGAGAGCACAGTTCATTTGACTTGAGTTTGTTAAGATAGCATTGCCAACCATTTTGTGATGTTTCTCTCATCATATATTGGGCTGTCATGAAGAAATAAACCTTCACTTGATTTCATGACAGTAGATAATAAATTGACAATATAATTCAGTTGAGAAGTTGAAAATGCATTGAAAATAATGGGGCATAACATTGCAGGGTTAACATTTATTCATAGATGATGCAATTAAATAAAACAGGCATTAACTTCAAGGTCAGTCAGTAAAGTAATAAAATTGAATATTTTAATTGAATTGTAATTGCTTCCCATTGATACATGCAAGTGAAGTAAAATAGATGTCAGCTCTGCAAATTATGGTTCTTCCTCCTAATTAATTTCTTAATTCTGCATGGAGTTATCCAGTGCCTAGGTCTTGTTGTGGGTTTATTCATCTACCCAGCTTCCATCAAAGAATGTCTGTAAAACATGATTAATGTTTTAGATGTCAGAAGTTACAATAAATCTTTTTTTGTACTTGGAAAAAATCATATTAGCAACCTAAAATAACATATATTTGAGTGAAAATATACCTCTAAAGATAACCACATCTGGTACCCTGCAAATACAGGCAGGGGTAGGAAAAACACTAGGGCTCCTCTGCACAGGTCGAAACTTCCTAAGATTCAGAATCACAACAAATCAAAGAAAGGCTGGATAAATGGAATTGCATTGAACTGAAGAGTTTCTTCATGGTTAAGGACACAGCAAGCAAGAAAAATAGAAAGCCCCCAGGATGGGAGTGCATCCAACAAGACCCTCTTACCTAAACTACTTAAAACTCAAAAATTTAAACACCCCAAAAATAACTCCTCAAAGAAACAATTAATAAATGGGCTAACGACTTAAAGAGAGACTTTTCAGAAGAAGTAAGAATGGCCAACAGACACATGAAGAGATGTTCAATATCTCTGCCATGAAAGAAATGCAAATTAAAACTAAATTGAGATTCCATCTCACCCCAGTTAGAATGGCAATTATCAAGAAAATTAACAATAACAAATGCTGACAGGGATGTGGCCAAAAGGAAACACTACTACACTGTTGATAGGAATGTAAACTTGTTCTACCACACTGGAAAGCAGGTGGAGGTTCCTCAAAAGACTCTACATAGAGCTTCACTATGACCCAACAATCTCACCCCTGGGCATTTATCCAGTTGATCACAAGCCAGGTCACACTAAAGCCACCAGCACAACCATGTATGTTGCAGCATTGTTTACCATAACTAAGATAGAGAATCAACCCAGATGCCCTTCCATGGACAAATGGACCAAGAAAATGTGAGACACACACACACACACACACACACACACACACACACACATCAGAAAGAATGTCATCTCCCCATTCAAAAGGAAGTGGAAAGACTTGGAGAAAATTATAATAAGCAAAGTAAGCCAGACCCAAAGAAACATTTGTTACGTGGTTTCCCTCATTTGTAATCATTGAAATGTGGCTATAAATCTGTAAGTAAACCCAATGGATAGTAAAAGGCAGAAAGTTACACTTGGACATGATAGATTAAACAGGACTAAATATTCACACAGTGAGACCAAAGGAGGATATTCTTAGGAGAGGATCACAAGGGCTTAATAGCTATGTGCATTTTTTTTTCTAGTTGTTTTTTTTTTTCCTTCTTTCTATTTTCTCCACTGTATTTGATTTCTGTACCATTTGTCTTGTAGGTAAGCCCAGAAACTGTAGGACAATAGGGTAAAGTAATTCTGCAGCAATACTCATTAGACACTATGTTGAAAATGAGCTATACAATTTGGTAGGGGTAGGATTGGGGGTTTGGAGGGGCAATACTGGGAGAAAATGAGGGAAGAGATGACACCGTTCAAAAGAAATGTACTCAGTACCTGACACAGGTTACTGTAACCCCTCTGTACATGACCTTTACAAAAATAAAATAGTGTAGCATTTGCATGTAAAAAAAATAACCACATCTGGGATCCTATGGAGTATTTTCCTATTAATATTAGTACTTATAGAGGATATTGATACCAATATTACTGCATGTGATTGTCTCAAGTTTTGTAGGTGATACAGGCTCACAATTGTCAACTGTAGACACACAGTTGATAGGTCAGGGAGGCAAATGGAATAGATTTTCTAAGATTTGGTGGCTCATAGTTTGTGTACATCATGATCCAGTCTTCACTAGATAACAGACATCTAAAAGGAATGATCCAAAACAAGAAACATCTCTTAAGAATGAGAATTAAGTTGAAGCTTTTAAATTAATTTAAATTGTATTTGAAAATGCATGAGCTGCTGTGCTTTTTTTCATAGACCATTAGTGGGTTTTTAGCGTAAGGTAGTTTTATATAAAGTAAAGTGGGAAATAGGACATTACAAAGATTAAGAGAAAGATTTTTCTAATTACAATGATTTTGTATCAGGTCAAAATTCTAGGTTTTATTTAGAGAGTAACATATATCTTCAAAATAACTATTTCTTAAAAGTTAAAAACACAAGAAATGTATGAAATGAATTAAAAGTTACTGAGGTATAATTGTATATTCATATACATAGAACAGTTTTATAGAATAATTCCATAGAATCATTAAAGCACAAATGTTTGTATGTCATCAACACTCTTTAGCTATGCTTAGAAATGCAAATTGATTCTTCTTGTTGGTAAACAAATTAAACTGAGCAGTGGTTTATGTTTGTCACACATTTTAGCTCAATGACTTGATTAACGATATTTTGCTCTGAGTCATTTTGAAACAAAAATTAAAAATAATTCAATGATAAATACATTTTATTTATATTTTATTTATTAGCCTGACCTATTTTCAGCTATGAAAGATCTTGAAAATCAGAGTTTTTTGCAGATATCACTCAATTAAAAATTTCTGAAACCAAAATACCTAAAGTAAATACTAAAATCTTAGAGATCTATAATTATAAGCTGTAAGTATTTCTACATAAAGAAATTATTTTTTCCATATCCTTGATTTAAAATTTAGTGATTGTCTTGTTCAAATTAGGGAAATTACAGCAAGTATTACAAAGACTATAGATATAATAGTAAAATGTTTCTAGATGAGGAAACAAAGGGAAAGTGAAACTGTAAGAAAATTAGATATTTCATCTTTTCTTGTATTTATAAAAGTAATTTTAATTTGAAAATGATTTTCAGATTAAAAATTGAATAAAAAATTAAAAACTGGATTTAAAAATTGTGTTTTAAAATCATTTCCTCTATTATTGGCTATAATTTAGGAATCTAAGAGCAGGGAATATGGGAGAGCATGTCCTATAGAGAGACAAACACTGAAAGTGTCCCATAAGGAGGAACGTGTGTGTGTGTGCGCGCGCGCGCGGGTGTGTGTGCGGGTGTGTGGGGGGGTGTGGGGGGGGGGGGTGTATCAGCCTGGGCACTGTCCCTGAGTTTTTTTGCTTAAGGCTAGTGCTCTATCACTTGAGCCACAACTCTACTTCTGGCTTTTTGGAGTTTAATTGTAGTTAGAAGTCCCATGGACTTTCCTGCCAAGGCTGACTTTGAATCATGATCCTTAGATCTCAGGCTCCTGAGAAGCTAAGATTACAGGCATGAGCCACCAGCACCCAGCTTTAGAATCACTTTTTAAGCAGTTGATTAGAAATAATCATTCATTCAGAATGAAACATTGTGATGTAAAAAATAACCAACTAGAAATTTTGGAAATAAGACATAATACGTAAAACAAAATATTCAGGCAGAATAAACTCTGGATGAATCAAGCCAAAGGGAGAATGCATGAAGCAGATAAAAAAGAAAATAAGTATTTCACCCAAAGACAACATAGACAGAATTAACAAATTGAGAGTTACTTAAAACTAGAAGAGTAGATTGAGAAATTGCAGTACTATGTTACAGGCAATGTGAATTTAAAGAAGCATGTGAGTTTTGAGATTGAAAGGTCTTGTTGGGTGCTAGGAAGTACACACAAAAACAGACACCTAGGGAGACTGTATGGAAGTTGCAAAACCTCACAGCCACATTGAAAATTGTACAATCTAGCATAAAGAAAATGAAGATTCTTTAACTGTAAGCACTGTTAGATGGACAGCATAATTCTCATGAAGAACAACAAATGCCGAAAGCAGAGTTATAGCTGAACTTGGAACACTAGTGAGAGTAACTTAGTCGAGTTAAACTGAGCCGATATATGTATTTAAACAGCTAAAAGAAAATTATTTCTTTCATAGCTGACTCTGGTAGGTGTGTTTATTTTTCCTGTCAGGTTATCCTTGGTGTACGGAAAGACTTTGTATGGTCCACACTATGCTCAGATGTCTACGTATACCCTGCTGTCGAGTTATTTGAAATCTGTATGGGAGCTCATGAACAGGGTATTGGCACAATGATTTTTAAGAACTTGTTACCCTCTTTACAATACTAAGAAAACACATTGTTGTACAAGGCCATTGGAATGAAATGTCATTTCCAGTGGTAATGCTATTATTTGTGTCCACATGCTACTCTACTATTAAGTGAGTTGATTGCACAGGCATAACAACGTACCATTCTTTTATTTTCTCATTCTTCACCTGAGAAGTTTAAAGGTTAATAAATAGGAATAAACTAGAACTAAGTTCACACGCTGTGGTCTATGAGTAAAATGAGCTGCAGTAATTAAAATACCAAGGATTTAAGTTTCCGGTCTTTGAAATTACATATCCATGCTCATTACAATTTCTCAAAGAGGAAGAGTAGATTGAATCATACCTGTGGTTGTTGATGCCTGTATTTGTCACAGGAGCATGAAAAACAATTTTACAAGGGGAAATACTAACAAAGGACCTTTTACTTTAGAATCAGTGCAACTGCAGGTATACACACAGGTTTCCAAGGTATAAAAAAAGCCAAAGGAGGGCAAATATGTCTTTAAAGTTCTAAATCTGAGAGTTACCTACAAAAATTTAACCTTTCTTGGCAGGTTTAGATCCAGATAAGCATCTTGGTAAAACCCTGACTGAAATGGAGCCTTATCTCTTAGAGGTAAGAATTTGTACAAGTTTTCAAAATATTAGGCACCTAAGGGAGGAGAAAAATAGTCATGTGGTATAATGATTATAAAAATTATTCTTGTTTTGGAAAAATCCAAATACATTTAGTATATGTTTTCTGGAAGATTGAATGTCCAATGTTTATGAAAATAAGTTTACAATCATGAAAATACTTCTAGTCTGTTGACTGAAATACCTTTTAGGTATGTCCAAAATTTTCTTTTATTAAAATGAGTATTGTCTACCATAAAAATAATACTACTATAAAGTATCTCAGAATCTCTATAGGCAGATATTTGTCTATCATAAACAGCAGTGAAACATCCTTTGAAGATCTATTCTGATCTCTCTCTTACCAATTAGAAGTTAATTTGCTACTTAGTGAAAAAAATTATACCAGGTTTTAGATGACCCTGTTTAATCAGGTTTCGATGACCCTGTTTAATCGTTATACTTTTCAAATCCTGAATGAGCACTTGCACATAAGAAATATTCTGTTATTTTCATTTACTCTTTTCTGTTAATTGTATTGTATTTGATTAGTTTGGGAAGAGAAATGTTAGGTTTTGTATGGCAAATCTTCACTAGCTAGAAGAAGATAATGATACCATGTGGATTTTTTACTTCACAATCAAGATGGAGAAAAAAATCACTCTGCTTCTATGAGAGAACTGCATTTCTAAGAAGTCATAATTTTTTGCCAAGTCCCTAACTTTTTGATTCTATGTCTGGCCATTGTTAATGCCATTGGAATGATGTAATTGCTATTACCAAATGTTGATGTTTCCTGAAATATTAATTCCTTATTTCATTAAGGATTAGTAAGTGCTTAGTATTAACTGGGTAGATTGCAGAGATTAAAAGAGAAATGAAATAATATGTAATTGTGACAAATTATGTTTGGTTTCTAGATGGTTGATATCATATATTTAAGTTAATCTATAAGATATGATTGCTTTCCTTGTTCTTCTGGTATGATTACTCTCAGCAGTTAGTTTTGTGGCCGCCATTGTATTTATGTTCACATCTGTTCACTACCCTCAGACTAAATTTAGCTTTTAACAAAGCAATTAAACAACAGGGCTGGGGCATCACTCAAGTGCCAGCATGCCTAAGAGTCTGGGCTCAATCCTTAGTACTGCAGAAGAGAGGGACTGCCAGAGTGGGTGGGGACTCTCAGAAAGAGAGAGTTTGGGGGCAAAATCACTTGTTGTAATTTACCTCCAAATTTTGAAGCTTCAAGTTCAAAATACAAGTCATATTTCAAGCATGTAGAAAAAGCCAGTAAGTAGGTTGACTATAGGTAACAACCAAGAACTCTGTTTCTTCCGGGCACTGGTGGCTCATGCCTATCTATAATCCTAGCTACTCAAGAGGCTAAGAAGCTAGGATTCTAAGAAGCTAAAAACTCCCCGGTTCTTTTTGCTTCTAGAATTTAGGTCCTTTTAGGTCCCTTCTCCATTGTGTTTCCAAAATATTGTTTGCAAAATGCAATCATCAGGTGAGTTTTCTGCTTAACAACTCTGTCCCCTCTCCTAGATGAGGGCCCTCACAGCGTGGCGTGGGAAGGCCCACACCACCTGTCCCCTCCAGCTTCCAGGGTCACTCACTGCGTCCTCTCCTCGTCCACCCCAGCAGCTCCATACTGGAGTTTCTACTGCCCTTTGTATGCTCTGTAGAACTTGACGGGAACACGCCTTCCCTCCCCAGGCCTCACCATTGCATGTCTCCTCTTTTCTGGCAAACATCTTTCAGCTCTTTAGCTTGAGTTTTATTTGTAGAGGCCTTTAGAATTCCTTGCAGACATTTCCTGGTTTGCATTGCCTACTATAGATTCTTATGAATCTGCTAAAAAAAAACAAAAAAAAAAAACGACTTCTTACTATAATTGTTCCTTTAATTTTTTCTTTCTCCTTCCAAACAGTAAACTGTTGTATGCAAGCACATATCAGTTAAATTTAATGGATTCACAACAGTAGCCTGACTTAAAAAAAATTCAAGTAAGTATGCAACTATATATAGGAAACCATTCCAGCAGTGGTAGAAGTAGAACATTAAAGGAATAACACTTCCCTTGAGCCACCAGGGTGTTGGATGAGGAGGAATTCAGGCAGGTGAAGCTCCGACAGTCAGAGGACGGCAGTGGACTTGGCATCTGCCGTGACAGCCTGTGACATGCTGCCCAGCACTGTGCTGCTAACCATCTGCCCAGGACAGGCTTCTCTTGGCCCGGGAACTGTTTCAGGACTATGGCTTATATTTACTGCAAATCAGAGACCTGTCTTCTTGCTTGCCTGTTGTTAAATTTCAGGTTTCATTAGGCAACTTTACATTCCATTCCAAGTGCTTTTTAGGCCTTTTATAGCTTTGTAACTTCACAAATTTTAGTATCCTTGAAACTGTCTTAATAGTCTTATAAACATCATAACCATGTATGCGACTTCATTTTCTTCACATGCCTTAAGGTTCTCCAAAAGCAACACATTATTTTTCCTTCCACATAAAGGTCAAAGGGTAGGAGACATAGATTGTCAATTATACCTCCATATACTACATAAAAGTTTACTTTCCCTTTGGATCTAAAGATAGTATCCTAAAAATATATAGTAATAAGTTTTGTCATTTTGAAGAAAATTTAATGGATTCAGAATCTCTTACACATTTTGAGATGATTTTAAACCTATGTTTTCAGCAAAAAGAAGAATACTTTTCTGTTGTAGGTAATCTTTTGGAGTCAATGACTACATGGAATTTCTAAGATGAAGTAGGATAGTGGCATCTTGTGTGTAGTTTTAAGTTTTCTCCTCTTTGATTGTCTCTCATTGGCAGCTTTCTAAGAAGTATGGAGTCCATGTGTGTGGAGAAGGTGGAGAATATGAGACGTTCACTTTGGACTGCCCTTTATTTAAGAAGAAAATAATTGTGTAAGATTTAATTTCAGCATTTTTCTTAAATTTATGTAATAGTAACAACTTAATATTTCGCAGGAGGTGACCTTTGTTGGGAGAAATAGAACAGGTCCTCAAGTTCACAAACACTCAGTTTGTTTAATACTGGTGAAGTCATCCAAACACTTAAATCAATACTCGCCTGAAGAGGCCTTCGGAGAAGGCTATAAACTTTGTAGAGTTGCACTTTGGTTCACTTGCTGATTATGGCCTGCAGTAAAACTGATAACTGCACACTGACACTTTTTAGCCTTTCACCAAGTGTGAATTGCCTGTATTATGTATCTTTCATTATAGTTACTTTTGATAAACTGCCACATCAGTAGCCTGTGGGTTCCATTAACTCTATCCTTTTTTCTCCTTTCTCTTGGTTTTAACAAAATAGAAAAGTAATACTAGACATTCAATTATTTGGGATTATTTTTATGTATAAACTTTGTTTTTGTTTTTTTTGGTGCCTATCCTGGAACTTTTAACTTAGGGCCTCGGTGCTGTCCCTGAGCTTTCATGCTCAAAGCTAGCTCTCTGCCATCTTGACACACAGCTCCACTTCCAGCTTAAACTTTGTTTTTAACACTGCATTGTCTAGAGTTCAACTGGAACATAAAACCATCACCAGCACTGGTTTTGTAAAGGACAATTGAGATTTTGTGTGTGTGTGTGTGTGTGTGTGTGTGTGTGTGAAACATTGAATTACCTCTTGAAAAATGAAAAGAATAATGAAGATAAAGCACAAATGTTTAATGTTTAGCCCATACCAAGCAAATTTGTGAAAAAGAAAAGGAATGAAGTCTCAAAAGTTGTTCAGAGAGTTTTGAGTGAGCTTAAACGTTTAATTATGTGTCATTAAGTTCTGTACTCTTGGCATGACGTATTGAATTAGTGTGTAGTGTTCTCACTACATACTGTGTGCCAGTGGAAGCACATGCAGCATTGGGGGGGGGGGGTGACGATGACTTGCCATAATGCCCATCATCGGTAAATGCATTATAAATTACCTGTGTTTCAGGGACTCCTGGGAAGTAGTCGTCCATTCAGATGATGCATTTGCACCTGTGGCCTACCTACGCTTTTTAGAGGCGCACTTGGAAGACAAGGCAAGTCACCTCAGCAGACAGTTATTTTCACACACGTATGAGGCAGGTGCACTGATGGTGCATGTGTGACTCCACAGGTAGAGAACCAAGTTCATCTCCTAAGTAGCTAAGAATTTTACACATACTTCTGGTTTTGAGAGCTCTGTATGACACACAGACACTGTTCCAAAGAGCTGTCAGGCCTGTTGAAAAGTGAAGAAGGCATACCTCAGTGGATGAGAAGACAGTGGGCAGTATAAAACCTAATGTGCACAGCCATTAGAGGAAAGATTTGATGATGAGTTGAATCTTCATTACACAGTTACAGGACAAAAGGAGGGAAACAGCTTTTATGAAAAGATCCAAGGGAACAGATAAGGCCGTGGGGTGGAAGAGAAAGTTTACAGGTAAGCCGAAAGAACAGTGGAGCTTGATCAAGAGACAGCAAAACAACCACTTAAAGATGTCTTGAGCAACAAGTGAAAATCTGGATCCGATCGCAATCGTTTTATATTTGTCATAGAAATGATAGGGACAAATAAGCCTGTAAATGAGAGTAGTGAAGGGGACAGTCCTCCCTTCATGTTCTCCCCTCGTGAGGCACACGCCGAAGTCTGTTTATGTGACCAGGGGTCTGAAGGACCAAGAGGATAAATAAGGGTTCTCCAAAAGTAGGGAAAGAACCTTGGTGAGAGTTTGCATAGTACAGGGTAGTTTCTCCAGAAAAATTAGGGTGAACAGCTTAAAAAACAGGTCATTAAAATGGACTGAAAGTTGATGGCTGGTGGCTTTCATCTCAGAGGAGCTGAATAACTCTCTGAAAATGGGGTGACAGTGTCCAAACCTCTGTGAGAGGCACTGACAGGACCTTACTACTCTGACACCATGTACACATGTGGAAAATGAGGACCGCTGAATTCCTGTGCGGCCACTCCTCACACTGTGTGTGCAGCTCCACCTGAGAAAGCTCACGTCCACCAGGCTGGCTTCGTGTGCCATCCACCTCCAGAGCCCACTTGCCCCATGCACAGCACAGTGTGACACCTCTAAGGTGTGATGCATTTTCCTTTCTTTTTCTTTTAGGTGTTTCCTGGTCCTGACAGCTACAGAACATCCAATGATAGACACAATTCATGAAAGTGACATAGCATTTTTAAACTATGATGCCAACCTTTTCCCTTTCCTTTTCTTTTTTACTTAGAAAATGACACCTTTTTCAAGAAGAAATTAACGGAACCATTGATTAGCTGTGAAAACATCAATAGCTTATTCCTTCATATTGACAACTTCCTTTGGATTTGCCCTTTCTCTTTATTTAGCACTTCCTCTCTATGGCCACTTCCTGGAATGTGTCTCTTAATTTTCCTTTTTCTCACATGGTACATTTCTTTTTTTTTTTTTTTTTGGTACGGTCATGGGGCCTGAACTCTGGGCCTGGGCACTGTCCCTCAGCTCTTCAGCTCAAGGCTAACGCTCTACCACTTGAGCCACAGCGCCACTTCCGGCTTTTTTCTTATGTGGTGCTGAGGAATCGAACCCAGGACCTCAGGCATGCAAGGCAAGCACGCTACCACCAAGCCACCTTCCCAGCCCCTGATACATTTCTTTCAGAACTCTTTTTTTCTTCTTCCTCTCTTCCTTGCTTGCACCCATCTCTAGCAGTTACATCAGAATGAAGAGTAATTCAGATATAGATATGAATAAAGAAGTGACCAACCTAATCAACTTCCTCTATTGGGTGTCAATTTTGTGTTTAACATATGCATGGTTCATGAGTTTCAGCATTCCTAGACAATCAGGAAGAACTATAACTTTCACTGCTCATGTTAGAAGTGATTTTAAATAGAATTTTAATAATTTTACCCATATTGACCGTCTAAATAATGGACTTATTTTTTCAAGTGGCTTTTGGTTCCAGCAAAACTGAGTAGAAAGTGGAGTGCTTTCTACTCAGGTATACGCCCTTCCTCTACAGAAGCACAGCCCCCTGGCCATCTGGAGTGGGACGCAGATGAGCTAGCTTTTATGTATCCTTATCCTCAAAGGTCTGTAGTCTGCATTACAGTTCACAGTTAGCAATTTACATTCTGTGGGATTTGACAAGTGTCTAGTGATGTGCATTCACAGTTGAGTATCACACAGAGTTCTTCTACCCAAAATCCTCTGTGCTTTCCCTATTCCTTCCACCCTCTGAGTTATCCCCTGGCAGTCTGTGTTTGCTTTTCTGACTCCATGTCAGGGAGTTGAAATCATACAGTATGTAGCCTTTTCAGATTAGCTTCCCTTCACCTATTGGTGTGCTAATGGTTCCCTGTATCTTACTGTGCTGGAGAGCCTATTTCTTGTTAGTAGCACACATATTCATTCCATTGTATGTATATGTGAGAGTTGTGTTTATCCCCTCATCTCCTGATGGGCATCATGATTGCTTCTACGTTTGGCAACTACGAATAAAGCTGCTGTATGCATCCAAGTGCATGTTTTGGTGTGATGTAAGTTCTCAGTTTGTTTGTGTAATTACAGGGGACCATGATTCATAGATTGTAAGAGTATGAGAGTTTAGCTTTGGAAAAAACTCCTGTCTACCATCATAGCTGTACTGATTTGACTTCCTCCCAGTAGTAATGAATGAAAGTTCCTTTTCTTCCACATCCTCACCAGCTTTGGATGTTGTCCATGTTTCAGACTTCAGTCATTCTAATAGGATGTTATGTTGCCTCATTAATTGTCTTGGTGTGCAATTATCTAATGATATATTTTGTTGAGCATCTTTGCTTATTTTTATTTTCCGTATGTATATCTTCTTTGCTGAGATCTCTCTTTAGATCTATAGCAGGGTTTTAAATTGTGTTTTTATTTTCTTAATATTATGCTTTAGAGTCAGTATATTCTTGCAATAGTTCTGTATCAGATATGTCTTTTGCAAGTATTTTCTCCCAATCTGTAATTTATGCTCTCATTCTCATACTGCTGTTTTTCACAAACCAGGCATTTTTCATTTCATCAGATCAACTATTCAATAATTGGTCTCATGGATTATGCCTCTTCTATATTTAAAAGACGATTGCTAAACTCAAGGTCATCTACATTTTTTCCTATATCATATCTAGGAGTTTTATAGCTTTACATTTTACTTTTAATTCCAAGATCCATTTTGATTTAATTTTTGTGAAGAATAATATGCTTATATATATTCATTCAACAATCATTCCTGCAGCATTTATTATAAGGAGTATCTTTCTTCCACTATATTGTTTTCTGGAGCATTTGTGTGGTCTAATTTTACTTGTCTTTTTTTTTTTTTTTTTGTAATACAACACTGTTCTAAGTACAGTAAGTCTTAAATTCACATAGTGTCAGAGTTCTGACTTACTCTCCAATATTGTATCAACTACTCAGGGTCTTTGCTTCCCTATAAACATCAGAGTGAGTTTGTTGTTGTCCACAGAATATCTTGCTGGGATTTTGATTGGAGTTTATTGATCTTTAGATCAAGTTGGGAGGAACTGACATGTTGATAATATTGAATCTCCTTGCCTAAGAACATTAATATAGAGTCCCACTTATTAGTTCTTGCAGCTAGCTTCTGTTTATTTACTTCTTATAACTTTTATTTAGGTCATCAAAGTTTTGTTTAGGTGTGTTGTTATAACCTAACAAGTAAAAGATGGCCTCAAGGTTACACCATTATTCACAAATTTGAACTCATTTAATCTTCCAAATGTATTTTTCCCTACTTTGTTATTTAGCATAAATGTTTCTCCTTAGAAACTCAGGCAGAAATTATTGGCATCATCCATTAACCTACCTTTCATTCACTATTCGCTTAATGCTGTAATCCTTTATATTGTAGTTCTATTTCTTTTTCTTTTTTAATTTTTCTTTATTTATTTTTTATTGTGAAAATACTGTACAGAGGGGTTACAATTACATGGGCAAGCATGTAATTATCAAGCATTGTAGCCTCCTCCTTTGTTTCCCCTTCCCATTCCTTCCCATCCTCTCCCATCCCCTCCCACCAAGTCCTCCCCCCCACCACCAAAGTTGTAAAGTTCGTTTTTCAACATAGTTCTAATATTTCGTACACCAGCATCTCCCATTAAAGTTGTATTTTGCCCAAAGTTCTATGAGTTGTCTAATTTTACAATCTTAATATGCAATTCTACTGCTATATTGAATTTTCTTTCTACTATTGGTTCCAGCACATTTCCTGATCACATTATTTTCTAAATGCATAAAATTATTAGCCATCAAAGCCAGGCACCAGTGGCTCACACCTGTAGTCCTAGCTACTAAGGAAGCTGAGATATGAGGATCAAGGCTCAAAGCCAGCCCAGGCAGGAAGGTTTCTGAGACTCTTATCTCTAATAAATCACTAGAAAACCGGAAGTGGTGCTGTGGCTCATGTGGTAGAGCACTAGCCTTGAGCTGAAGAGCTAAGGGAAAGGGACAGTGCCCAAACCCAGAGTTCAAGCTCCATGACCGACCAAAAAAAAAAAATAGCCATCAATCGGAGGCCCATGTGATACATTGCTGTAATATATAACTTTCCTTAGTCCTTTTTATCAGGGCTGTCTTGAATGTATTCTTCGCTCTTAACCATTGAATATCATGTCTTTTCTTCCTTGCCTGTACTTATTCTGTCTCTTCCACTTTGCTTTCTTCCCTTTCTTTAACTGGTTACAACCTACTCATGATATAGGGTCGAATTCAAATGCTGCCATACGTTTAGTCATACAAGCTAAAACTATACCAACACTTTGTTTCTTCACTTTTTGTAACATAACTTCATTCAGCTTTATGTCATTGCTTGATTAATCTGGTGGTCTGTGCTCGACAATACATGAATGATTGACCATTTCTGCTGGGTGGCACTGTTTTGAGGACTGTTTCCTTCCCATCTGTATAACCTCTGAATCAGCTCTAAAGTAGTTCTAAAGATACTAGCTAACAGTTCAAAAATTAATTGGTTATTTTCATACTTCATTTTTCTATTCCATGTGGAGTCCTAGAGATATATCTTCATTTTGTATTGCATACATATTTTATGACTCACTTTTCCTTTTCTTTTATCTCACTATTAAACAAAAATTCTTTAAAGCAAACTAGGATGTAAAATCACAATGTTTAGAGAGATTATTGAACATTTTAAGATATCATTTGGGCTTTTACTTTATATATGAGAGCCTCCATTAGCTTTTCTATTAAATAATTTATTTAGTTAAATTTTACCTTTAAATTAAAATCTTAAATTATATATGTATGTGAGTATTAAAATGATATCAACTGAACATGGAATCGCCACCCCTCAAAAAACAAATGAAAGGCTTAGGTTGAAAATGGGAAAATACATTAAAATTTCTGTAGGACTCTGAGTTTATTGCTTATGGCAAACTTGATGCTAAAATGTACCATACATCACTGCAGTGACAAGCCTGAGAAAATGAAAAATACAAAACTTTACATAAATCAACCATAGGATCATATTGAAATGTATAACCTTTAACAGAAAATCAAGTTTTTAGTTGTAACTACTCAGAAACTTTTATATAGTTGTTTTAGATTTTAAAATAACTTTATGAGAAATAGTATTTCAAATTAATTGATGGCAAAGCCAATGTATTTATAAAGAAACAAAGGTCACAGAAATATAGTCTCAATTTTATTACCATCTCTTACTGAATTTTCCTTTTTGTAGAAATAATCTTTGGAGCACTAATAGTCTATAATCACTTAGCACGTAACTTTCTGTTGCAGTATTCTCTGAGGGCAATTACATGTTTTAAATAATTATAAAAGCTCAAGTTCCTAATACTTAAAAGTTCTAAAGACATTATTAGTCTCAGCCCACTTTTTGCTCTTTCTTTTCATTCTTCAAACCTAAAGGTTTATCACCAAATACTTTGGGAAACATTTTAACATTAAGCCCCCTCTGTGCTTTTTCTTCTCTTTTCAGTCTAACTTTCATCTTTGGGTTCCCACTCTGTTTTAAACGGTGTGAGATCTACAATGAATTCTCCATAGACACGTCTAAGTTACATAATCGTCGCGGTTTTATGGTGAAATCCCCGTCCTTGCTGGCACTCGCTGCCCCACTACTGTGACCACAGGACAGCTATCTGTCACCGTGGGCCCAGTTTTCGCCAGGGCCATGGCTGTGCCACACTGTTGTCCCAGCATGAGGAGTGTCATTTAGATGATGGTCCTACGGAGTGGTAAAGGCAGGAAGCTTAGTGTCTTCATGTATAGATGAGGATAGTTAATGAAGATTCATGTCTGGCACTGGTGGCTGTTAGCCTAGCTACTGAGGAGGCAGAGATTTGAAGATTTGGTTTGAGTCCAGCTTAATCAGAAAGGTTTACTACACTTCATCTTCAAGATTAATGAAAAGCAAGACCA